ACACACCTTTCACATGACCAGCCATGTCCACATGGTGAAAAAAAGTATATTCCCGAATCACCACTACTGTATTTGTTACATCCAAAACATTTGCTTTGATCTACAGNTTACATCCAAAACATTTTCTTTGATCTACAGAAAAAAAAAAGAAACAAATGTTAAATACTTGTATTGGTAATAATTTCTAGAAATTTTAAATTTTAGTTTTCAGTTCAAAAGCAATATAAGTTTTCTTTTAACGCTTTAAAAAATTTAAAAGCTAGTAGAAATCCAAATAGTTGTTTTTTAAACATGTACAGTTATTTACCAAATATATACTTATAGTATAATTTGAGTTTTTTGAAAACAATATTTTAAAAAAATAGCGATTAATTCAATTATCTTGAAATTGAATAACGATAAATATTTCATAAACTATAAAAATAAATTTTAACTTTCATACAAAATAATGTTATGTAATGAAACGATATATAAAAAACCTTCTTACATATATCTCCAGTTATATATTTGAAAAGAGTAGAATTATGTGCTAAAGACAATCGATAATCTATAATATAATAACTGATATTATAGTAACGTTTTAAGTCGCTTACATCCATATTATTCATTGATATATTATTAGGTTCTTTTAAAAAATGCACTTTATCTTCCATTAACTTCATGCAGTTTAATAAAGCATTTTTGTAATTTATGTTGAATTTATTAAATTTGAATTTCTTAGATTTGTGATTTTTGTAAACATCTAAAATACATTAATGCGGTTCAGGAGAAATCCATTCTCTATTAATTATCGGTATAAGTTCAGCAAGTTTTCCACTAAAATTTTCTAAGTAAAATGTTATTTCAGCACGTTTTTTATTCATTTCTATATCTTCTTCATAAGGAATATCTTCATCATCTACTACGTGACTGTAAGGTAGTGGACAAAATAATACCTCATTTTTCGATTGTATATAATAAGGATGTTGTTGAAGAATGACATAATGAATATTTGGGTATTCCATTTCCAGA